TATATGAACCGTTTTTTAACGGCGGCTTTAATTTGAAAGGTCCCGGAAGGAAGTGTTACCTTAGCAATGTCCGAGGAGAAACAGCGGCCTTTATCATCGGAACTGCAGGTCGCCGCGCGGCACGTTGCTAGCTAGCTGCAATGCTGTAGCTGTTAGCGCGGTCATCGCTCTGCTTTCCGGTGCTCCACCCTCACCCCCGCTGCCAACAGAGCTCCACCCGCTCACCCCTCACCGTCCTCCGGCTTCTTATTCCTCTCTCTCCGCCCGTTAGCCCCTAGCTAACTCCTTAGCTAACTCCTCAGTAGCCGTCGCTTCCCTGAGCGGCTGGAGGAGCATGGCGATGAGACAGACCCCCCTCACCTGCTCCGGTCACACCCGGCCTGTGGTAGACCTGGCCTTCAGCGGAATCACCCCGTATGGATACTTCCTCATCAGCGCCTGCAAAGGTGAGGCTCCCCGGCAGCATGAGCAGAGCAGCTGCCCTGGTTAGTCCTGGCAGGGCTTCAATGATCCGGCCTCTCTGCGGGCAGAAGGAGCCTCTCTGCGGTGGAGGAACTAATATCGGTTAAAGTCAGTCAGATGTGGAGCCAATGAGAGCCAGAGGTCAGGGATCCAGGCTGGACTGGTTCAGGTTCTGCCTTAAGTCCGGATGGAGGGAGGTCAGGTCTGCTGGAAGGTCTCTGCGTCTTAGATTATAGAGCAGATCTGATTAATCTGTTATAATAACCACCTCATTTAATCCTCTAATCATTAACCTGAGTCTAAAACCTGCCTTTAGCTGACAGCCATCCACCTACAGCAGTATTTATACCACCATTGTTAAAATAGACATAAACATTTTACATTTAAGATGAAAATAATCCCTCAGTCGGTCTGATCTATAATCCACATCTCCTCACACAGCATCCAGCAGCTTCTGCCCAAACCCTTCACCCCTGACTAGTTAGTAACCAGTCCAGGTCTGGGATAACCAGTCCAGGTCTGGGATAACCAGTCCAGGTCTGGGATAACCAGTCCAGGTCTGGGATAACCAGTCCAGGTCTGGGATAGGGAGTTGCTCTAGAAGTGGTTTTAACTGGATTTGCTGAAATCTTTAAGCTTTCATCCTTTTTTAGCTCCATATCATTAATAATCTGATCAACGAAGCTTTAATAAAACGCTCTTCTTCTGGGGAATGGGTGAAAATGATGCTTTGATCTGAAGGAACCAATCAGCCGTCACCCTGCTTTACTGCAGTTCTTCCTGTTTGATCCGGTTGTAACTGAATGGATTGGAGCCAAAAGCAGCTTTGCTCTGAATGTTGACGGTGGATTCAGAGGATAACAGTTGGTCTTCACTCTACAGCCACAGCTGGCCTGGGGCACGCTGGCACAGAAGCTGGGCTGCATGACGATCAGCTCCATCTGCTGTGGTGATGCCACACATGCTCTCCTACGGAAGCCCAGAAGCATGGTGGTCTGGAGAGCCTGGACGTCAGCTGCTCGCCAGAAATTGATCTTTATTGATCTCAGAACTCTCTGCATTTAACCCCTCCCCTTTGGGGAGCAGAGGGCTGCCATCGTGCGGCGCTCGGGGAGCAGTGTGGGGTTAAGGGTCTTGCTCAGGGACCCAGAGTGGCAGTCTGTGGGAATCAAACCGGGAACTTGCAACCTTCCCAGAGCTCCAGCGCTCTGCTGTAAAGCTGGGCGTAAACTGTACGATATTGTCCATTGTTGCACGCAGCTACAGCTCACACTGTACGACCAAACCTCAGGGTTTAAAAGTTCACAGCTAATGATGATGTTTGTTCTCACGCTGCGATGCTCTGATGCGATCTACCTGCTCACACTGGACGTCTAAAAACCAGGTGGACTCAGCTCCGCAGTGAGATGGCGCTACTCGGACTCGTCTATCCAGAAGCTAAACCAGAAGAGGAATCTGAAGCTCACTAGAGTGAAACGCGCTGCCTTGGATATTTGTGTGATTTAGTGCTGAATCTGTCAATTTTACAGAAAGAACACCATTTCACTCATTGCACCCCCGCCATGCTGCTGTGTTTACATCAGAGAAGAAGAAGAAGAATCCTTGAGGAAACGCTCAGACCTGACGGACGCTCACAGTTAGGCTGGTTAATGGTTGAAATGTTGACGCTAAGCGTCTTTATCTCGTCTAACTGCAGCCGTCTGCAGCTCAGACATAGAGCTCACCAACTAGATGTGATTCTGACTCCATGTTCACGCCGTCCTCCTCTTTTGTCCCCCCCCCCCTCAGATGGTAAGCCCATGTTGCGCCAGGGAGACACAGGGGACTGGATCGGAACGTTTCTGGGTCACAAAGGCGCCGTCTGGGGAGCCACTCTGAACGCAGACGCCACCAAGGCCGCCACGGCAGCAGCTGATTTCACAGCGTGAGTGGGGGGGGGGGGGGGCGGTAACCAGTCCAGGTACGG